AGCGCTGTAGTTGTGTATAGTGTCGTTGCATATAATGCCATCCCTTTGTTTTTGCTTCTGTGTCTCCTTGTTGCAGCCCAGTCCTTGGAGGTATCCGTGAAGCCCTTGTTGGTTGTGTCTGTGCTCTTCTAAGTAGTCTAAGGTTTCGTTTTTCACATCCAGGGTGTTAATCCATTTTGAATGAATTTGGTATAAGGATGTCGTCTAGTTTCATTCACTCACTGGTGCCTGTCCTGTTTTGCGGGCATCGTCAGAGAAACTATTCCCTCTGCATCACGTTCTTGGCTCCGTGGTCCTACATTTGTTGTACAGGAAAGTGCGGGGCCGTTTCTGGGCTGAGAGTTCTCTCTGCTCATCTGTACCCTGACTCCAGACCCTCACTGCTCTGGCGTGATGTCAGAATGAGGTCTTGTTTTTAATTCTTCCTTCTCAGAATTGTTTAGACCTGGAGGCCTTCTGTATTTCCAAATAAACTTTATGATAACTTGTTCTGTTCGGTAAAGAATACTTTGGGTTTTGACGGGGGTTTGGAGCTGCATGTTGTAGGTGATCTGGTCGTTGCTGGATGCGTTGGCAAACCTGCTTTCTCTCCACCTCTCTTACTTCTTCAGTGTCCGGTTTTATTTTTATGTTTTATTTTACTTTTGGTTTGGGGCTACACCCAATGATTCTCAGGGATTTTTCCTGTCTCTGATATCAGGAATTACTCTGTCAGTGCTCTGGGGACCATCTGGGGTTTCGGGGATCAAGCCCAGGTCGACTGCATGCAAGGCAGGTGCCGCACGTCTGTGCTCTCGCCCCGGCCCCAGTTTTAGAAGAATCTGGTCTGGCCTGCTTACACTATGCTGGAGCGTGGAAAACTTTCTGGATCCCATTGTTAAAGTTCACATTGAAGGTCGGGGGAGCTACCTCCCTGGCAGTGTTTCTAGGAGAGTTAGAGACTGAGGCTCTCTGGGCCTGGGCCTTGTTCTGGGCTAAACAAGCTGCCTTTGGGCGCCTGCTGGTCACTTTGGCCGGCCTAGACCCTCTGCAGAAGTCGTGGTGGAGTGCTGCCCTTCCTCCTCTGCTCTGACCGTTCTTCATGAGGCTGTGTCCTGCGTCCCTTTTCCCCCTGAAAACCCTGAGTGTAAACCACTGAGCAGCCTCAGGAGTCAGTGAATTCATCCTGTACACTCTCTCACACACTCTCTCTCTCTCTCTCTCACACACACACACACTCTCACACACACACACACACACTCTCTCTCTGACGCACACACACATTCTCTCTCTGACACACACACACACACTCTGACACACACACTCTCACACACTTACACATACACACACTCACACACAGTCTCTCACGCACACTCTCTCACACACTCCCACACACACTCTGACACACACACCACTCTCGCACACACACACACTCTCACACTCACACAGTCTCTGACACACACTCATACATACACACTCTCACACACAGTCTCTCACACTCTCTCACACATACACACTCTCTCTGACGCACACAGACTCTCACACACACACTCTCATACACAGACTCTTTCACATACACATTCTTTCTCACACACTCTCATACACTCTCACACACTCTCTCTCTCACACACACACATGCTCTCTCTCACATACTCTCTCACACACTCTCACATACTCTCTCTCACACACACACAAAAACACATGCTCTCTCTCTCTCTCACACACACACACACTGGGTCCAAGTGAGCTCTACACACACACACACACACACACACACACACACAGAGGCCCCAGCAGCTCTGTGCTGGTCCTAGCAGGCCACACAAACACGGGAGCAGTAAGGGAACAACCCACCCTTAGCAACTATCAGGCGCCTGCATCTCCTTTCGAGCCATTGTTTTTGTTGGTTTTTCTTCTTGGTTTCTGGGCCACACCTGGTGATGCTCAGGGATCACTCCAGGAGGTATCAGGACTCCAGGGGTGCAGGGGATCGATCCTGGGTCAGCCGTATGCACGGAAAGTGCCTGCCTGTTGTCCCCTCTCTCCGGGCCAGGCCGCCATGCTTGTGCAGGAAGTTTGGCTTGCCACAAACTGACGTGACTTTCACCATAATTTCACCCCGGTCCCTGGGGACCAGCCAGAGCCTTAGGTGAATAACTTGGACACTTAATTTATAATAAAGTCTGCAATCAGCACTTCTTATTCCAAAACATTCCATTTACTTGGTTTTAGAGCTGCATAAACTGTTTTAAAAGCAATCTGCTCAATTGGCCAAGTTAATGATACTTAATTCACCCAGGCTGAACGTCACTGCACAGCCAGAGCTCTGTCACTGCCGGCGTCGCTGCTCAGTCATAGGGGCGTGTGGCTCGCGGGCACACAGAGCAGGGTCTCTCAGCCGGCTCGACCGGCACCCAAGGTCTGGGTGCTGTGCAAAATGTGTCGTGTGCAGAGGGTGTCTCGAAGGGAATCTGACGGCAGGACAGATCCGCCAGGGCCACAGCCTCCCACCTTGTTGCCGTCTTCTAGAAAAAGGGATGATGCCTGAAATACTCCTCGAGACTCATGGAGACTCATGGAGCGGGAGGTTCTGGCCCTTCAGCTGCACTGGCCACTGCAAGAGTCCCCTCTCCAGGGACTGGCAGGTAGCCGGGGACAAGAGCGGGGCAGCACGCGCCCTTGGCTCTCCAGAACATGGAGTCCCGCCGAGCTCCCTGGAGCCCCCCACAGTGCCGGGCTCTTAGGAACGGTAGGGCTGCAGTGAGGCTGGGCTGGCCGGCCTCTCAGCAAGCTACTGGGATTGCATTTGCACAGAGACAAGGAGACTCAGCAAGGCAACTGCCCAGAGCCAGACCCCTCAGTGGCCTGACCACAGCCCGTGTGCGCCCCGCCCCTGGCGACGGGAGACGGAAGGACTCCTTAGCTCCCCCAGTGAGCAGACACCAGCCCTGCCTGGTCAAACGCCTTGTGGGACCCAGCCAGGAGCAGCGATGCCTCTCCTAGGACCTGCCCTGGGCTTCACCACCCCCCTCTGCGCCCTGCCCAGGAGAGGCCACCACGTGTTGTATAAGCAGTGGACAGTGATGCCACCACGGGATCGCTGGGCTCCGTACCACATGCTGCAGACCAGCTGCTGGGCTGCGCGTCCTGGGGGCCAGCCTGGCCCTCTCGGAACATTTGCTCCGGACCCAGCCCTGCTCCTGCTGCGGCCCCTCCCCCGACCTGCGGGGCGGGAAGCCGCGTGGAAAGAGGTTGCTAGAAGCGAGTCCAGCGGCTGCTGAGTTCTGCAGATAGTGATGTCGGGAGATGCATGCGTCTGCGAGCAGGTCCGATTTCTGGAGGGGAAGGTGCTGGCTCAGCCACACGCCTGCTCCCTGGGCGGTCACGGCATCGGTGGCTCAAGTCCTTGTTCCGCCCACAGCTCCCCTGTGATGCAAGTAAATTGCTTAAGTGGCTGAATCCAAATCATTAATAATCTCCACTGGCTGATTCATTTGGGCTTCATTAGGAGGGAGGAATACAGCTTCTCTTCCTCAGCCCAACAGCTGTTTACAAGGCCTCGTGCCCAAGAGTGCGGGTCCCTGGGGGGCTGGCAGGGGGCTCAGCACGAGGCCGGGAGGCAGCTGCAGACTTGGTGTCTCGCCGCTGGGCAGAGCCCGGCCAGCGCTGCCTCCTCTCACGGGCGGGCTGGGGCAAAACCACTCAGCTTGTGTGTTAAAACCGGGGCATCTGAGCCGGGTCCAACTCCAGGAAACCAAGTTCAGTGCTGTGGAAACACATGCGCACGGGAGCAGAGAGAGCCGCGGTGCAGCTGACCTGCACCCTCGTTTTCCCTTTGACCCAGGAAGAGCTGCTGCAGTCTCAGGGTGAGCGACCCGTGCACCCGTCCCAGCTCGGGACACGGCCACTCGCTCTGCTGCACGGGTGGGGACTTGGACAGCAACGGGGCTTCCCGGTAGCCCGCAGTGACCCCCTCTAGACAAGCCTGCTGTGTTTTGTCTGTGGCTCTCTCTGGAAGAGCTCTGCTTGATTTCTTTGGATGTCGATTAAGGAGGTCCTGGTTAACGTGCAGAGTAGCACGGCAGCACTGTTCATCGGTTTGCTCGAGCGGGCACCAGGAACGTCTCACAACAAATTGTGAGACTTGTTACTGTTCTTGGCGTCTCAGGGAGCTTGCCAGGCTCTGCCATGCGGTTGGGATACTCTCAGTAGCTTGCTGGGCTCTCTGAGAGGGACAGAGGAATCAAACCCAGGTCGGCCGCGTGCAAGGCAAACGCCCTTCCCGCTGTGCTGTCGCTCCAGCCCAAATGTGCAGAGTAGCCGGGAGAATGCGTGTCGTTCACTCAGAGTGGAGGAGGAAGCCGCAGCTTCTCAGCTTGGCGTGAGAGCCTTGAGGGGCCCTTCACCTGGTCCCTCGGCAGCGGGGTGCCCTGTGGCACGGGGTCGGGCCATGCCACAGCCTCAGCTGTTACGCTCCCCACAGCCGGGCACCGGCTCTGCTTCCACAGGCTTGTTTGTTTTTGAAGGTGCTGCCAGGGCCGGGGGAGGGGGGTGCGGGGGGGGGGGGGGGTGGCGGCCCAGAGGGCTGAAATGCAGGCACCAGGCTCTGAGTCTCACCTGCGGCTTCGCATGTCCCCTGAGCACTCCCAGGGGTCCCTGCTGGCCCCGCGCTGTCACCGTTCCCATCCCAGAGCCACCAGGCCCCAAGCTCCCCCGGCCTGCTGGCAGTGGCCTATGGGTTTCCTGAGTGCTTCTCGGGACAAAAGGTAACTTCCTGTCACTTCCGTAGAAGGAAAACTCGGGCCTCTAGCCCCGAACTGGAAAGGGCCCACCAGGAAGAGACAAACCTGCAGTCCCCACCACTGCCTGCTGTGCTTCCAGAGCCCAGACTCCCAGCGGGGACCTGATTTCGTGCCAGATCGTGTAGCCCTGCCCCGTCAGAGCCCCTGCCCACGGCGGCCACTCTCCCTGTGCCCGTCTCTGTACCTGCTCGCGCGGTGACCTGTGCCATGTCCCCACAGGTGAACGGCAAAGACTTGTCCAGAGCCACTCATGACCAGGCTGTAGAGGCCTTCAAGACGGCCCAGGAGCCGATCGTGGTGCAGGTGCTGCGGAGAACCCCCCGTGCCAGGATGCTCCCGCCGACAGAGCACCAGCTGGTGGACGCGGGCACGCAGACGGACATCACTTTCCCGCACAGCTTGGCTCTCTGCAAGGTGCCGGGCCTGGACCCCTACCTCCTGCCAGACGAGTAAGTGGCAGAGGCAGCTCAGGGCACGGGCAGGCCAGCAGGAGGCGGGTTCTCCCCTCCCACAGGGAGCCCAAGACACGACGTCTGTGGTCTCCCTGCGAGCTGCCCACGTCCACTCTGCTGTTCAGAGGCCCAAGTTGGAGCCCCGAGGAGCCCTCTGCACGTGTCAGCTGCTCCATCACAGCCCAGAGCAGGTCCTCAGAGTCCGCTCTAGAGCAAAAGCACCTGTGTGCTGAGAGTGGTCTCAGCAAGAATATGGGTCACCAGCAGCGGCAGTGGGCAGGCAGGAGCCATGGGCAGGGATGGAAGGAGGGAGGGATCCTCCCTCCACGGCCCATGGCCACAGGAGGAGGAGTCTGGGTGCACAGGCCACTCTGGGGTCCTTCTCTCCAGGGTCTCCCACATAGGAGTCCCCTGTTGTGGCCGCCGTCCTCCATCAGTTCTGTCTGTGCACATGGGACTGGGGTCCCTGTGGTCCCCGGGGTCACTGGCACCTCACGTCCCGACTGGTGTCCTCTGGGGTGATCATCCCCACCTCCTGGGCTTGCCAGGCTGACTAAACTGTGTCAGTTCTCCGAGCATCCCAAGAAGGCATATTCCGATTCAGGGTCTGACATCTTTTAGACAGGAGGCAGAGGGGTCTTTTCTGAGGGAGGCAGGGTGAGGCCAGCTGGGTGCACAGGTCCTATACTCTGAGGCTGCGGTCGCCCTGCCCGCCTCCTCAGTCAGGGTCTTTGGTCCCAGATCCCCTCTGGTCCTTCCCCTCAGGCACCCAACAGAACCAGGAGCACAGCCCAGTGGCTGCAGCTCATGGCCCTGGGGCCACCCGGCTGGAGCGCCCGATAGGGACCAGGTGATGCAGCCACGAAGCCTGGCGGATGGGTGATGGGCGACGCACCGCACACCTGCCTGGCCCTGACCTCTCTCTCTGTTCCAGGCACCCCTCGGCGCATGAGTACTACGACCCTAACGACTACCTCGGGGGCCTCCCGCAGGAGCTGGACAGGGAGGAGCTGGAGCTGGAGGTAGGATTGGTGCCGCCCTGCGGAGGTACCGGGTTCTGTGTGTGCTCCCTGGAGGGGCGGGGGTTGTTCTCCCAACAGCTCTGAGCAGCCACTTCCCAAGGCAGGCGGTGGCGGGTGTCACCTACCCCACAGGAAGGAGTGGTGGTCTCTCCACGAGCCAAAGCCTGCATGTCCCTAGATTGGAAGTCGTCCCCTGACCCAAGCTGCCACGCTGCTCGAAGGCAGACGTCCCTCAACCACGTGGATGCGTGCCGGGGTCCCAGTCCATTGCTAGAAGGTTTCCCAAAGTGATCGTGAAGAAACAATTTTATGGCTTGACTTAAGTGTTATTTGAGGCTGGGTGTGACTTAGGACTCCAGCTGTGCGATCACTTATAAGTATTGAAACATGTAAAAGTTTATCCTGCTCACCGAGGTTTTTTATTCCCTGGAATAGGAAGATAGAAAACCCTGAGGAAACAGCCTTGCATTTCCATGTGTATCCCCAAACATGCAATGGCATACTCCAAACACTCACAGGGAGTGGAGGGTGGTGCCTTCGGAAGCGCCAGGGTGCCCAAGGGTCCCTGACACGCCAGGCCCACAAGGGGCCCCACCCTTGGCGTTCTGAGCATGGACAGAGCCTCTGGGATGCGTCTGTCTGTGACTCTCCCGGAAATATGTTCCCTGCATACCTTCAAAGCTACCCGAGTCTTTGTTCCAAAACAGCCCCTAGCAGTGGTGGTTCGGGGGAGAAGGCGCGAGGGTCACCTGTACCCAAGCTCAGCTTTGGGTTTTAAACATTACTTTTCTTACTCCCACTATAAAATCTGCCGCTGACCACGGACTGAATCCCTGTCACCCCAGCGCTGCAGGGGGCACACGCGTACCCTTTGGAGAGCCCCTCGTGGTACGCTGTGCCCTACCACCAGACTTGCTTGTCCCCAGCAGCAGGTGACCTGCTCAGACAGCGCCTGAGTCAGGCCCCAGCGCTGTCCGAGTGGCGCCAGGATCAGGCAGGCCGGGGGTGGTCAGCTTTCTTTCCTCAGGGACTCCTGGGATCTGCCTGTCAGCCTGGGCGCTCCAAGTGGAAGGACTCCTGGCAGGGTCTTCCCAACTCTTCCACCTGCAGAATGCCCTGTGACTACATCCTGGTACCGTGTCCGGGCCCAGAGTGCTCCGGAATGCTTTTGGACAGTTCTGTGGAGTTCCCTAGAGTACTGCTTCTGTGTCACCAATATTCACCTGGCATCATAGTCTTTGAATCATCTTTAAAATGCTCTTGACCACAGAAGCTAGGTTTAGTGTGGAACCTTTGGCGGTCTCCCATGTCTGGCTGCCTCTGACGTCTTAGCGGTTCGGGGTTCCATTTCCAGCCCTTGAACCACTGGTGGGCACCATGGCTCTCCCTGGAAAGGGGTTTCTGCCTGGCAGTTGCCACGTGGTCCTGCTCTGAGTGACCCCTCTGCAGTGGTCTTGTGTCTGAATGCCCTGGGTTGTTGGTCTGTTTCACCTTCAGTCATCTCTGACTCCCGGTCAAATTTATTTGAGTGCAAACGCTCCCTTCCTGCCTCAAGCAGCATCTGCGGCATGAATGGCCTCTGAGCCTGGGATGGCTCCACCCTGCCTCCCGCAGCCTCCGGCAGACTCCTCTCCTGAGAGCTGCGTTGCTCGATGCAGGAGCGCGTTGCCTTCTGCCCGAGCTGCACCTCTCCACAGGACATGCTTTCACCCCGACCGCCTGGGACCACCTTGCCACTGCAGGTCCTGTGGGGTGTCACCCGTGGAGCCCGCCCCTCCCCCAGCGGCCACCTCCACCTTCCGTCCGGTACCACCATCCGGGCTGACACTGGGCCCGGACGCTCCTCTGCCTGCTGCCATCCAGGGCCTGGTGCCCAGCGGCGTGTGGAGAGTGAAGGCGTCAACGCCTTCTGGGACAGGGCAGCAAAATCAAGGAACTGTGGCTGAAGTGGCTGTTGTCAGGACTGGGGCAATAGTGCAGTAGGCCGGGCACTTGCCTGGATGCAGCAGAGCAGCGTCCAGTCCCCGGCTCTACCTGTGGTCCCCTACACACCAACACAGAGCTAGGAATAAGCCCTGAAACACAAAATAAAAATAAATAAAATCATCGAGTGTTTGGCGTTGAGGCTCAGAATCCGATGTACCAGGTGGAGCGGGCCTGGTTCTCCTGCTCGGGGAGCCTGTGTCCATCTGTCTTAGCCAAGCTGTCCAGCAGCTAAGCTGTCTTGGCTGTCCCTGTTTATCCTCCGGTCCATCTAGGCCGCAGGCAACAGGATCCCGGTGTGTGGGTGGGGGCTGTAACCAGACGAGACTGATCCTCATTCAGGCCAGGTGGAGGCTGGTGAAATCTTACCTGTGTCCCCCCCAGTGGGGGAGCCTTGGCACCCTCTCAGTTTCCAGGGCCATGCCGCGTCCGAGGCTTCCTGTGGTGCAGAATGGGGTGGAGTGTTGCATTTTGGGAATCACACATATAAAATTACAGACCCACTGAGAAGTTTCACTGGTGCGAAGTGACTTTCCACAACTACCGGCAAGGCTGACCATTTGACCATTTGACCACCATTATTTTGCCTTCCACTCTAGCTCATTTTTTTTTCAGTTTTGCTTGCTCTTGTTTTTTGGTTTTGCTTGTTTGCGTTTTGGTGTGGGGCCACGCTCACCAATGCTCAGGGGACCATACGGGATGCCAGGGGTCAAACCGAGGTCAACACATGCACGGCAAGCGCCCTGCCCACTGTACTATCTCGCCAGCCCCCGTTTGCTACCTTCTGTGAACAGCTATTAAGGTAGATTTCCGCTGGTGTGCTGCATTTTGAAAAAATCATCACCAGCCCTTAAGACTTCTCCCTCCCCCCTTCCTCCCCGCCAGCTCTGGTAAGCTCAGTGTCCACTGCTTATGATCGCCTTGTCACCTGCTCCGTTCCCTTAACAGCACAGACAGGCTGGTCATCCATCCAGTGCTGACCTCTCTCCTTCCGACTGACCTCACTGTGTAGCCTCTGGAGTCCCTTTCACTGCACTGGCCAGAGTTCCCTCCGGCAGAGGGACTGCATCCCGTTGTACGGCGGCCCGCGTGCCTTCATCCCGTCATCAGTGCAAGATGCTCTGTTGCTTCCGCTTTTCCACTATTGCAGGAAATACTGCGGTCAGCACTGAGTGGATTAATTGCGAAGGTGGTTTCACATTCTTCGAAATGATACTCAGAAGAGGGGCCGCTGTATAGATCATATAGTAATTCTATTTTATCTTCTTGAGGAAGAGATGAGGCATTTTCCAAAACCTGCACCGTTCAGGTTCCCACACGGTGCACACACCCACACAGATGCTTCTGCGTCTCTGCCACCGGGACCCACAGGGCATCTTACTCTGGTCTGACTTGCGTTTCCTGGGTCTCAGTGGCGATGACGAGCTCATCCTGATGCCTTCTGCATGTTCTGTCTGGAGACGTCCTCTCCCAATCTTCTGCCCAAGTTTTCAGTTGGGCTTCTTTGTAACATCCGTTCTTTTTCATTTGTTTGGTGCTCAGACTCCTGACTCTGTACTCTGGGTCCCCTCCTGGTAAGACTCGGGCTTGTGTGTGCCGGGATTGGAGCAGGCTGGTTGTACGCGAGACAAGCGCCCGGCCCACTGTTTGATCTCTCGGACCTCCGGAGAGCACATAAATTCTTGGGGTGCTTTGGTTATCGAACCTTAATCAAAAGTATGACATGTGAATACCTTTCTATTCAATAGGCGAAATCTTTTTTCAGTTTTTTAATTATTATTATTGAATCACCGTGGGATACAGTCACAAAGCTTTCATGATTGAATTTCAGTCATGCAGTGATTGAACACCCATCCCTCCAGCAGTGCCCATTCTCCACCACCAGTGTCCCCAGTAGCCCTCCCCCACCCCTGCCCACCCCTCTCCGTCTCTGTGGCAGGCACCTTCCTTCTTTCTCTCTCTCTCTCCTCCTGTCTGCCTTTTTAAAAGGTTTGTGGTCCAGAAGTGTTCGTTATTCTTCCCTTTGGCTGTTCTTTCATCTCAAACCGTCGTTTGGTTTCCTTTATTTCCTTGTCAGTGGAGTGGAATCCCCGAAGGGAGCTCTAACTCTGATTTCAGGGAATGTTTCAGCCATTCTACCTCCTGTGTATTTTGTGGTTTTAGTCCTTATATCTGTGACTCTAATCTTAATCAGTTGATATTTGTGTCCAGAGATGGAGCGTGTTCCAGCTTCACCCTCCTCGTGCATCTTTGCAGTTTGCCGGCAGAGTTTGTTGAGGAGACTCGATGGTATGCTTGTAGTTCATCTCTCATACCTTCAGTATCAAGGCTATGTTGGGCTTATTTCTGGGACTTTCGTTTTATTTCATTCATTTATCTGTTTATTTCTGATTCCATGAAGTTTTCACTACCATCAGTTTCCAGTACAGTGTGATTCAGGTGAATTGGCACCTCCGTTTTTTCCCCGAAGGATTGCAGGCCTGTTGGAGGTCTTTGTGATTCCATTATAAACCTTAATATTTTTTGGTTGTATGTCCTCAAAAGGGCTGGAGCGATAGCACAGCAGGCAGGGCATTTGCCTTGCACACAGCTGACCCGGGTTCCATTCCTCCATCCCTCTCGGAGAGCCCCGCAAGCTACCAAGAGTATCCCAACCACACGGCAGAGCCTGGCAAGCTCCCTGTGGCGTATTCGATATGCCAAACACAGTAACAAGTCTCACAATTTGTTTTGAGATGTTACTGGTGCCCACTTGAGCAAATCGACAAGCGATGGGAAGACGGTGCTACGTGTTCAAAAAACATGATTAGAATTTTTATTGGGGTTTCATTAAATTTACGTTGTTTGTGTTAGACGGACACAGTGGATGTATGGATTCAGTAAACCGTGTTGACGGACTCTGTTTCTCTGCCTCTGTCTCGCACCTTTGCCGTGTCAGTCCTTGTCGTGGTTTAGGTTGGTTACCCAGTGTTTCTGCTGTCGTGGCAGCTTGCGTCTCCACCGCCAGTGCCCCTGCCCTCGGCCCTCTGCTCACGGCTCTCGCGCCTCCAGCCAGCTGCTCCCAGGGGGAGTCTCCTTCCCTCCTCCCTGGCCATGACCCATGCCCAGGCAGCAGGACGTCCAGTGTCCAGCGCCTGAGCGTGCACGTCCACCCCCAGCAGCCCTGGCCAAGGCACGGAGCAGCCCCCCAGGTGAAGGGGACGTTTCCCTGCCCTCCCAGACAGGGCCCCTCCCTCCTCCTCCTGCCGCCATCGCCTTTGTCCAGGGGCTGTTTTCACGCACTGGAGGTGAGTCTGCGGCTCTGCCCTCCGCCTCCGTAGGTCCTGTCTGGCGTCTGGCAGTGACCCGGTCACCGAGACACACGCACTCTGGGCGGAGGCTCTCGCACTGCTGCTCTGAGGCCTGAGCTCTTCACTCAGCTCAGTCACGATGCTTCTTGCCAGCCTGTGCCTCGTGTAGGTGCAGTCGCTGCTGAGCTGGAGGGAGCACTTTTATTTTTATTAGTGAAACACCATGAGGTACAGTTGTGGACGTACAGATTTTTGTGCTTGGGTTTCAGTTATACAATGATCGAGTACCCATCCCTCCACCAGTGCCCATTCTCGACCACCAGTGATCCCAGTATCCCTCCCACCCCCATCCCCCCACTCCCCCGCCTCTGTGGCAGGGTATTCCCTTTTGTCCTCTCTCTCCTTTTGGGTGCTGTGGTTTGCCAAAGAGGCATTGAGTGGCAATCGCGTTCGGTCTATAGTCTACTTTCAGCATGCATTGGAGGGAGCACTTTATTTATTTTTTATTTATTTATTTATTTTGCTTTTTTGGCTTACACCTGGCAATACACAGGGGTTCCTCCTGGCTCTGCACTCAGGAGTTACTCCTGACGGTGCTCAGGGGACCATATGGAATGCTGGGAATCGAACCCGCGTTGGCCGTGTAAAAGGCAAATGCCCTATCCGCTGTGGTGTCTCTCCAGCCCCATGGAGGGAGCACTTTAAAGGAGCATTTCTGGCTTCAGTTCAACGCACCCTGTGGATCCAGTGGCACACCCCTGTTCCACGGCCAGCTGGATGCACCCTCCCGCGTGCCCTCAGTGCCGCTTAGCCAGAGGCCCCCACAGTGAGACCCTCCGCCCCTGCCTGTTGGTCGGGCTCCCGTGTGCGTCAGGGACCTGCCAGGGAGGCACCTCCCGCCCCTCCCACTGCAGCTCCCCCATCACCACGCCTGCTCCCCCCGTGCATGACCACAGGGGTTGTGCAGGCACCGTCGCTATGTGGTGGGCCTGGTGCTCCGGTCGCCCTTCGGCGGCGGCCTGGGCCCAGCCACAGCGGGGGTCTTCTGGACGCGGCTCCCGCCTGCTCCAGCGGAGTCTGCCCCTGCGTGCGGGAGGCACTTTCCGGAGTCAGACCCTCGGGCCGCTCAGGAAACCAGCCGAGTCTCTGCTTCTGCTCCTGTCCCGCCTTCACCCGACCCCTGCTGCCGCCTCGGTGCCTGCTTGTGCCACCGGCTGCTCGGCTCTGCCCTGCAGGGCCTGAGTCCGAGCTGCGGTTCCCCCTGGCCAGAGGCTCAGAGATCGTGCGCAGCCGGCTGTGAACAGGGAACTCGCAGGTCCCCTGGACGCACGCTCGCCTGCAGTGCCCCTGCCGAGTTCTCTTCCGTCCAAGCACTGGGGGCTCAAAGCTGACCTGGGGCTAAGGGTGTCCACGTCATCTGCTTGCAGGGCCTCTGACTGGACGTGCAGAGACCCCGGTGTGGCATGACCGAAGGGGCCGCCCTGGAAGCGTCAGACTGAAAGGGCTGCTGGTTTGGGAGGTGGGAATCGTCTTCTTGGTGGCAGATATTAACAAAGTGCTTTTTAAAAAGCCCTGCTCCACAGGCTTCGATGCTTAGTGAAATATGGGTGATTTTTCTTTGGTGGATCAATAAAATAACTATTTTCAAAATGACTTTCTATTGACTGAAAGGTCAGAAATGCCCTGGGCATTGGTCCCGGGCCAGAGTCGCTCTGCTGTCCATGGGCTCTCAGTGCAGACGAGCCGAGTCCGTCATGGGCTCCGCCAGGCCTAAGGCTGTGCCCCCCAGCCAGCTCACGGGCTCCTGTCTCTGTGCAGGAGGTGGACCTGTACCGCGCCAGCAGCCAGGACAAGCTGGGCCTTACCGTGTGTTACCGGACAGACGAAGAAGATGACCTGGGGATCTACATCAGCGAGGTGAGTGGCACTTCACTTCCTGGGCAGCCTCGGCCTCGGGCTGAGGGAAGTCCTGGGAAGAGAGCCCCCCCAGCCCAGACTTCTGCTCCCAGAATACAGGCCCCACTTGGCACACGGGCAGGCCTCAGTGACGCCATGGACCGCAGAGCAGAGCCACGTGGGGCTGTCGGCTCTGCTGTGGCGTCTGCATGTTTCTCCCTCCCTTCTTCCTCCGGATGGTTTCCTGGAGGTTCAGGTACAGCCGAAAGAACGCCACTCATCCTGTTCCTGCGGCCAGTTTCCGGTGGCCTCTATCTCTTGAGCATAGAAACCCAAGCCCCAGGAAATAAAACCCCATCTCTGTGGGACGAGCCATGGAATAAATCTAGCTATCAGACTTAGAATGACCCTTTCCCTGGTCTCTCCCAAGCTGGAACCCATCACACTGGCTTCGAGGGCGGCAGTTATTTTCCAGAAGTCCCTTAGCCCATGGCAGTCAATCAGGCTTCCCTCTGTTCTGCCGTCGCCTTGCTCTTCATGATGTAGCTGCCTCCCACTGTGGGGTGGGGGGTGGCTCCAGGATGAGGATGCGGTCCCTGCCCCTGTCTCTTGGCCAGACAGCCTCACTTCCGTGCAGGACCAGCTGCAGGGTGAGAGGGACAGCCGGACACAGTGCTGGGAGCATGCCATGTCCCTGCGTCAGTGCTGAGTTGCCCTGTTTTTCAGATCGACCCCAACAGCATTGCTGCCAAGGACGGACGCATCCGAGAAGGAGACCGAATCATCCAGGTAGGTGGACGGTGGCACCTCCCTGGAGAGCCGACTGGGACAGGGCAGGGGCTAGAAAAGGGGCCTTGGTTTGCCACACCGACTCACTGGGAATTGCACATTCTGATGACCAGTGAGGCCCCGTGGACAAGTCAGGCCCAGAATTTGCAGCTGTGAATTGGAATCACCCTCCTCATAGATTTCTCGGGGGCGGTCATTTTCCACCGAGTGTTTCAAGTTTGGTCTTGTCCTTAGTATAGGAACATCACTGGCGAAGTCAGTCACACGGAGAGGGGTTTGTAACTGGAGGATCTGCATCTCGTGGACCAGTTTTCTTACCCTGAGCTCGGTGGTTCTTTCAGATCCAGAGGAGAATTTCTGTTCTGCTCAGAGTGTGGGGCCCCTGTATCCTGCAGTCTCATGCCTGCTCCCCTCCCCTGCCTCACTGCTCACTCCCACTTCTGCAGCTCCTCCTGCCCGTGTGGAAGAAACACTGAACTCTGGTGACCTGCTTCTGCAGTTAGCCTGAGGCGAGCTGACGGGCAGGCCTGGAGCCCCCGCAGAGCTGCAGGGACAATCCTCACCCTCAAGTGCTAGGACAGTGCTGAGGGGACACCCAGGCGACTGCCCGAGCACCACGCCTCGTCCGGCTGGGGGGGCCCCTCCACTTGGCCCGTGGCGCTGCTCAGAAAGCCTTAGTGTCACAGCTGCTGGGGCCTGGGCCCCACACCCCCTGAGGCGGGGCCAGCCTCCCCTGGACAGCAGCCCAGTACCTGGAGGCGCTGTTCCTGCGGGGCCGGGGACCGGAGGCGTGGCTGCAGGCTGCAGTCTCACGCCGTGTTGGTCTGCTCCACAGATCAACGGGATTGAGGTACAAAATCGTGAAGAGGCCGTGGCTCTCCTCACCAGTGAGGAGAACAAGAACTTCTCCCTGCTGATCGCAAGACCTGAGCTGCAGGTGGGTCCCCGCCCCCGCCCCCGGCTTGCGGGCAGGGACCAAACCCCAGCCCTGCCTGGGCCTGCCTGGAGCCACTCAGGACTGGCAGCGATGCTCGCTCTGAAAGAGGAAGCCTGCCTGGGGTCACTCGGCCGATTCTGGCCCCCCTGGGAGGTGGGATGGTGGTCGCATGGCAGGCGCATGACACGGTTGTGATGACGGGAAGCAGGGAGCATCCGGACACGGCGCCTGTAGTGCCTGGCAGCCGGGGTGCTGGCCTGACTGGGACTTCCTGGGTCTGAGTCTGTCAGCGGGGCCCACACCACTGCCGGACAGCACCACGGACGACAGGAAATGGGCACCCACTCCAGACCCGTATCTCATCCCACACAGGCCAGCGCCATCGACGAGGGCCACCAGGCACACACACAGACATCACAAACATGTACGCACATGTGTGTGCACAACATGCGCTTACATGCCGAATACACACTCACAGCACACAGGCACATACCAGAGAGGCACGCGCTCCTACCACAAGCACACACCTGTACACACGTGCACAGACGCTTTGGAACCACCTCAGGGCCCTGCTCCGGAGAAGCCGCCTTTGTGGCTGTGCCCCTGACACTCTGGGACCTGGCGCTTGGGAGCCCCTGTAGGTGGCCCGGGGAGAGTTTTCATGAGGGTGAGCCTTCCTGTGATCTGCAGCCCTCGGCTTACCTGTTGGCTGCAGGCCATGCAGGCTGGGTGGCAGGCCCTCGGGTGTCAAGCACCTGAGCAGGACGGATGTGTTGGCCCCACGTGGCCTGAGTCATGGGGAGTCAGTGGCCACTTGCAGGCCAGACCTTCTCGGGGGCAAGCACCTGATTCCACTGTCGCCGTAGTGGTGATGCACAGGCCGAGGCCTGCTGGGCTTGAGCTCCTCCTCTGAGGTGCTGCAAGCAGCCTGACGGGGGGCCCGACCCCACACACGCACCGCACACACCTCAGTCAGCTTGTTTCGGGCAGACATGAAGGGCTCACGGCCTTGACCACCTGCCATCAGTCACCCCAGGAGTGCACCTCACCCCCAGGCTGGCAGAAGCTTCCAGAACTGCCTGTGGGTGAGACTGAGTCACTGGAGCTTCCCAGAGGAGTGGAGACGGGGGAGGGCCGTGGGGGACCTTGTCCCACTCACCCGCGTGCCGGCTGCTTCTCCCCAGCTGGACGAGGGCTGGCTGGACGAGGACAGGAATGACTTCCTGGACGACCTGCATCTTGATATGCTAGAGGAGCAGCACCAGCAGGCCATGCAGTTCACAGCCAGCCTGTTCCAGCAGGTACACATGACTCAACAGCAACCCCAGACTAAACCCCGGGCCCAGCTTGACCCTGACCCCAGCCCCAGCCCTGACCCCAACCCCAGCCTAAACCCAAACCCAACCCTAACCCCAACCCCAAGCCAACCCAGCCCGACCCGAGGGGGAAGCAGCCAGAGGAACAGGCCACTGTGTCTGGAGAAACGGAGGCAGTGCCCTGAGCAGTGCAGCAGGAGCCGGAGGTGGGCGTCAGGATGGAAACGAGCAGCACTGCAGGCCTCAGTCAGATCACAGAAACTCGTCCTGGGGCACCGGGTCTCGGTGGTGTGGCCGCCTGGCCGGGCTGGCGGTGCCCCCTCTGCTCTCCTCGGGCGGGTCGGGGCTGGACCTTTAGAAAGCGAGTGGGTTCGCTGCCTGGGGGTGGGCCCCCGGGATGCCGCGGGGCTCGCCAGGCCCGCGCGTCACCGCCCTGTGCTCCGCCCCCAGAAGAAGCACGAGGAGGACGGCGGCACCACCGACACGGCCACCATCCTCTCCACCCAGCACGAGAAGGACAGCGGCGTGGGGCGCACGGACGAGAGCACGCGCAACGACGAGAGCTCGGAGCCCGAGAACCACGGCGACGAGGCGCCCGCCGCCTCCCGGCTGACGTGCAGCCAGGACACGCTGGGCAGCGGCGACCTGCCGCTGAGCACCGAGTCCTTCGCGTCGGCCGACGGCGCCGAGCCGGACGAGCTGGGCATCCCCGCGGCCGAGTGCGAGCACTTCCGCCAGCTGCTGGAGCTCAAGTGCGGCCGGCTGCGGCCCGGCAGCCCGGCCGGCGGCCCCGCGGACGCGGACGCGGGCCGCAGCGAGCCCGAGAGCGTGGACCGCGAGCTGGAGCTGCTCAACGCCGAGCTGCGCAGCATCGAGCTGGAGTGCCTGAGCATCGTGCGCGCGCACCGGGCGCTGCAGCGCGAGCCGCTGGCCGACATCTGCGAGCTGCCCGAGAAGGCCGACCGCGACGGCCCGAGCGCCTGCCACGCGGGCGACGGCTGCCGCGGCGGCCCCGGGGACGCCGCCGCCGCCGCCGCCGCGCCGACCGCGCCGCCGCCGCCCGCCGCGCGCGCGCGCAGCCCCGCGCCGCGCTCGCCCTACCGGCACGCGCACATCCCGGCCCACGCGCGGCACTACCAGAGCTACATGCAGCTGGTGCAGCAGAAGTCGGCCGTGGAGTACGCGCACAGCCAGCTGAGCCTGGCCGCGGGCCCCGCCGAGCCGCGCCTCGAGTGGAAGGTGAAGGTGCGCAGCGACGGCTCGCGCTACATCACCAAGCGGCCCGTGCGCGACCGGCTGCTGCGCGAGCGCGCGCTGCGCATCCGCGAGGAGCGCAGCGGCCTGACCACGGACGACGACGCGGCCAGCGAGCTCAAGCTGGGCCGCTACTGGAGCAGGGAGGAGCGCAAGCAGCACGTGGCGCGCGCGCGCGAGCAGCGGCGCCGGCGCGAGCTGCTGCAGCAGAGCCGCCTGCAGGGCCCGCGCGAGCAGGACGAGCGGCGCGAGAGCAGCATCCTGGAGCTGAGCCACAAGAAGATGCTGCGGCGCCGCAACAAGCGCATCTTCGACAACTGGATGACCATCCAGGAGCTGCTGACGCACGGCGCCCGCTCCCCCGACGGCGCGCGCGCGCACGGCGCCTTCCTGTCGGTGACCACCGTGTGACGGCGGCCGCGGGCGCGCGGGCCGGGACGTTGGCGCGGGGGCGGCCACGCGGCTCTTCTCCAATCGCAGTCGTGCTTTTTTACTTGTTCCTTTTTACGGAAAGCCTTGAAATTTCAGCAAGATCTTTTATGCAGCAGAATTCCACAGAATAGTCGGTTTCAAGTATATTCATAGAAAGAACTTCAACACGCTTTTTTCTTTTTTGCCGGAACACGAATATAACCGCCAGTATGTATTTTTAATGGAACCTATTTTATAATGTTCCTTGGCTGGACGTGTTTTTATGAGTGACCGTTGATATTTTAGGTCAGCGTTTCCGACCCCGAACCACCGAGCAAGTGCGGCTCACCGTGTTTGTGATACGCAGAAACAAACCAGCAGTGTTTCGAGCTGGAATACAGACACAACATTTCCCCAGTTCAGATTCCCCAAGGAAAGGGTCAAGGTTTGGACAGAAAGCAGAGCCGGGTGCAGTTTTGTGGATGTGTCACGCACGTTGACAAATCCTGCCTCTCCCCGGGGAGTCTGCAAGCCCAGGTCCAGCTCCTGAGGAAGCCGGCTTGGGAATGTAAGGACTGAGTGTAGTGAACCTTGGGTTTGTAGATCGGAGGGTGCGACTCACCAGAAGGTTCACAACCTCGTGATTGCGTAGAAACATTAAGTAAGATGGCATTAAAATAAATTATTATTATTTTCTATTTGATATGTTTTAAAGTGACTCCTCATTTTGCAGTGGTGCCTATAAAATAAAAGCCTTTTGCAGTGTTGAGTGTCCTTGTGCTGCGTTGCCTGCTGCCTTGCGAGGGTTCGAGTCTTCAGGTCACACACCAGCCTCATTCTTCCTCAACCCAGACATGCCAGACTCACTGTATAGTCTAACCCAGCCTTGCAGAAAGCCTCCAGCTGCCCGGTGTCACCCAAGCAAGGAACGGTGAGAAAGTTTACCAGTGAAGGACCCATTTATAGTAAAATCTGCCCCATTTCCAGCGCCCTTTGCTGCCTGTCGGGAACACTGACCTCTCCTAGGTGCCCCTTGGGAGTTCACAGTAGAAGCGTTGCTGTATTCTTGTGCTGACTGGAATCATGCAAACAGCGGATGCCTAGACTCTTAGCAATGTCCTGACTCTTTGCTCTGTTACAGTTACAGTATCTACTGAGAAGTTGAACAAATGAAGGACAGGGCCAGGAAGGGTGTCCTGGAACCAGACATGGGGTTTCATCTCTGACGAGGCAGAGATGATCAGGGGTTCGGGCAGCTCTGACTGAGGGCTGTCAGCATCCCTCCCAGCCATCACTGGGGTCCAGGCTTTGTGACGGATCAAGTCACCATATTGTCATAGAACATGAGGCTGAGAGAGACGGGCACTCATTCCCCAGCTTACTCCTTTCCTCGCCCGGAAGGACTCGCTGCGTTGCTCTGAGCACCTCTCCAGGGGGTTCTGTAGGACATGGACCATCAGACGGTGGTTTCCAGAAATGTTGCATGTCCTGCAGCTGAAGAGACCCCGGGGCTCCCAGGACCAGTTTGTGTCCTGCATGCTCTGAGCCATCCCTTGCCGTCTCAGTTGCTGAGAACCACCACCAGCCAAGCAGAGCATGAACTGCTGAAAGGTGTTGAAGCAGTTCTTCAGGGAAACAGCTTCCCTCTTTGCATGTCCTTACTGAAGGCCAGACTCTGTGCACGGTTGTGAGCAGATCCCAGCCTGACTGCCTCGTGGCTCAAGGGTCCAAACCAAAGGGCTCCTGCGTGCCTTTGAGTACGAGGACAGCCTGTGACGCTCGTGGAAACGTGCAGAGAAATAAACATCCAGATCCAATCCAGAGGCCCCGATTCCAACCCGTCTCCAATGACTTCAGCACATCGATGTGCGTGGTCACTACCTATAATGCAGAAGAGGTGTCCTAGCGTCTCTTAGCTCCTCCGTGGAACTGGGGCAAAACTGAGACAGTTATAAGGTAACTGTGAATGAGCAGGAGGTGACAGGAGCCAGGCCTCCCCCCCACACAGGAGTGTTAGCAAACCAACACAGACACCTTCATTTATGTGGCTGAATTGTCTCCAAGAGCAGGCAGCTGCTGCCGGGGGTCTCTGCAGCACAGAGAGCTGCTACCCTGCGCCTGCCTCTGCTTCCGTGGAGTCACGCCGTGAGCACCTCAGTGCCTCACTTTGAGCCAGGGTCTAAGTACGTCCAGTGTCTGGACCCTGTGCCGCTTGCTTCTTAACGCACCCGCCTTCCACCCCAGCTGCTTACCTTGCATTTCTTTGGCCTATTTAATAATCTGAGGGCAGCAGTGAATTTTATCCATAGTGCACGGCACAAACGACTGTGAATAATTTTGGAGGCCTCTTAATGTTCCCAGTGCCTATTTACTGGTTCCTCCAGAGGTGCAAGACCTCTCCGTGTGGGTCAGAGTTTGACAGTTCTTGGAGCTTATTTTCAAACGTTTTTAAAGCTGTGTCTTGCAAAAGTCTGATTTGAATGCCCATTTTGATCAAGGGACACATAATTTCTTGTTAGAGCCAAGTTGTTTAAGACAAACACTCGGCAGACCGCTCGCAATCGCCTATCCATAGAATCCCCTGTCCACCTAACCCGGAGGGACAAAGGCCCCTTCTCACAGGAGCACCCCCACTCGATACAGCCCTCAACCTTAAATGGTTTCTGTGACACAAAGCCCCGTGGGCCAAGGGGCGTCCGTGTGGCAGCCCCCACCCAGCTCCTCTCCACGTCACACCATCTCCCCATCCTCTGTCCAGCTCCGTATCACAGGCCACTGCTTACTCTGCCTGCCTTAAGCGGTCACCACCTCATGGTGCCTCGTGGTGGCTCTGAAGACCCTGTTTCAAGCTAAGCCCTGTCCCGGTGCACTGGGGTTAGAACTCAGCACACTGGGGTCACAACTGAACCACATCAGTACCCATACTTGGGGTGCGTAGAGCCAATCAGATGTGATTTTAGTAACAATGAGACTTTGATTCTAAAAAACAGAAAGAAAATATGTAGGTTCTTAGGTGGAGAGACACTTGAAGCCCCGGTGTTTGAAGGTCAGAATCCAATCCCAGTCCAGCACACGGGTGGGGGCTGGGTTCCCGGAGAGAGTCGCGCCTGAGCGGAGTGGGCCCTGGGAGTGGGCCCTGGGGGGGGGGGGGCTCTAAGCACAAGAACTTCAAGGGGGGAGAGGAGAAACTAGCTCAGATAAACCCGGAGAAAGGTGGACCCCAGTGCTTTGAGGGGCTACTCCCCGCCAGGGATGCCAGGCCAGGAGGTCTGGACGGGCTTAAAGATCCAGTGCTGGAGGCCAGCCACACATGCTAAGGGAAAAGGGAGCTCAGATAGAGAAGGGAGCACCAAATTAAGGGTGTTGGGAGGATCCTCCCAGGATGAGAGAAGCATGCTGAAAGTAGACTAGAGACCAAATATAATTCTCACCCATTGCCTCTTTTGCAAACCACAACACCAAAAGGAGAGAGAGAACAAAAGGGAATGCCCTGCCACAGAGGCAGGGGGGGATGGGGGGTGGGGGGTGGGAGGGATACTGGGATCCGTGGTGGTGGGAAATGGGCACTGGTGGAGGGATGGGTGTTTGATCATTGTATAACTGAAACCGAAAACTAAAATAAATTTTTAAAAAAAGATCCAGTGCTTGCGTCTGGTGGTTCTGGGGGACCACCAGGGCCACCACAGCAGTGGGGGTCTGAAGTCCAGGGGATCAGCTCCAGGGCTTCACACATGCTCAGCCTGTGCCCCGCACATACGTGACCTCGGTCAAGCACAAACCCCTTTAAGTCAAGAGCCAGGGCAGAGCAGTGCCTGTGGGAAACAAGCTCTGTACACTTCCGCACTGGATAATGGGCTCCTTTCTCCTCTCATATATTTGTAAGAGGGTACTGAGTGAACTCATCACCCGTAGAAGCCTCGTTGGGGACGTGTCCTCAGGGACTGGCTCCAACTGCAGCCTCCTGTGGTTGCCCACTGCATGTGTTTATTTAAGTCTATTAGAGCTATAAGAATTGCTCCGGTACCTGGAAAGTTTTGAAAACTCGTGCAATTAAGTAAACTGAAGTTCCTAGAAAGAAAACTGCATGTAGTCAACTAATAAATTAAGTTTACAGTGTTTGCAAGGTCTTAATTTATTTTAATAAATAAGCTCAAATTGAAAACAAAGTAATACTTAGTGCAATTACTAAATGTAAAGGTAAAGGCCCTCCCGTTGATCGTCGATTTGCTCGAGCGGGCCCAGTAACGTCTCCATTGGAGACTTTGTTGTTACTGTGTCTGGCATATCGAATACTAAATGTAAAACCTATGAATAGAATAATGAGATTTAGAAACTGAAATGAAAAGTTTGAGGCGAAATTAGGGTGTAAGCAAAAATTTTTTATAAAGATGACTAAGTAGTTTATGGCCTCTAGGGTAGCCCCAAACACACAACCACACAAAGATGCAACATCCCCCCACAGCCCCATACAAAAAAAGGATGAATTAGAAAAAAAGAATCAGGTTTGCAGAGTTCAGACCTCCCCACTGAGTTAGAAAGTAGACTGGGGCATGTGTGTGCAAGGATGTGTGCATGTGTGTGTGTTTTCACGTGTGTTTATAGTTGCCTCATGCACGTGTGGTCATATGTGGTATGCCATGTGTACCCCTCATACATGTGGGCACATGTAATTGTGTATGGCGCCATAATATATTCCTGTGTGTATGCATGTCTTATATACCTGGATGCACATGTTTGGCTGTGTGTGTGCGTGTATATGAATCCATGTGTGCTTGTGTGTGCCCATTTGTGTGTGCATTTTTGTGTGTCACTGATTTTCGTGTGTTGTGTGTACACTGATTTGTGCGTACTCACACTGATTTGGGTGTATGAGAGCACACTTATTTGTATGCATGTGTATGCGCTTGTACACTGATTTGTGCGTGCATTCACACGTATTTGTAAGCGTGTAAGCATGGATGCAGGCACACCGACTTGCTCAAGTCCCCTTCACTGGAGTCATCCCTCGGTGCCCCCGTCCCTGGGTGCAGAGGTGAAGAACTGTCCTGCCTGAGCACATTCTAGAGTCTCATCACAGTCCCCTCAGTCACCTCACACCTGCTCCTTGTCCCAAATTCACGACTTGTGAGCTTGCGGCCCTTCTTTCAGCCCAGGATCGAGTGAGGGGGGTGCCGGTGACACTGGAAGGAGTCAGAACCCTATTATGTTCTTGGAACAAGGGCTGCCAGCATTCTGGCCCCAACAAGGAGAGGTGCCACGGGCCTCCGAGACGCAGAGGTGTCACAGGCCGGCAAAGTCAGAAGAGCGAAGTCCTCCGGGAGGCTCTGCAGATGTGCCGCGCAGCCTCTGTGTGTTCTCTGAGAGGCAAAGACAGGCTGACATGGCCGGAAAGGCAAGATTGAGCCTCCAGGCTGTGTGGGTAGGAACCCTGGTCTGGGCATTTGCGGGGCTAAGCTGCAGACAGTCTGTGTGGCTCTGCCAGGACAGCGGGGTGTGGCACTGGTGGCTCTCTTCAAAGGTTCTGACAACCTTGCTGCTGAGCCGAATGCAGATCAGAGAAAATGGACGAACACTCACATTTATGTCCTCCCTACTAAATCTCCGGGCTGCAAACTGAGCATCTAGGAGGACCAAGAAGATTCCAACGCGAAAGGTGCTCTTCTGGGCCCTGGAGCTGTTCCAGTCCCCCTTCCTGTGCCCTTCTACCTAATCCTTCCTTACTGTTGGAAGTGGGTTGTTGGGAGTAAAGCTCATACAGACAGGTCAGCG